CCCAGGGTTTCCTCAGATTAGTTAAAGGTAAATATTCATTTACGTTTCTCTGCTGGACTTAAGCCTCTAATAATAAGAAAGTAAAATTAGTTTCTCTAGATTGAGTTCCTAATAATATTGTAATAGGTTCCTGTGTTCAGTGATTGAATCAAAGTTAGTTGGTCACAATCCAGTCTCTTTTGTTATAAATTATAATTGTTTGCCCAGTTAAGTTTATTCTGTTGCCCAAAGGTCTGCATTATGCTTACAAATTTTTCCAAAACTGGAATGCAAATTTAAGCTTAACATCTCTTTAATAATGTTTCATCCCATTTAACACTGCCCTGCAAGTTTGGCAATAAGACAAAATGTCTTCATCATTCTGAAACCCTTTTGCTTTACCAGTTACTCTGTAGCCCAGGTTACAAAACATATTTTTGATTCAAGAATTTCATAGCATGTATTTGGATCACATTCAGACCTCATCTCTACCTCTATCTTATTCCCCTCATGGGACTTCATGTCCTCTATTATTACTTTTCTCTTTTTAAAGGCCTATCAAGTCTAACCTCTGTTATGCAAACGCTCTTAGGTATAGTTGATCCCTTGGAGTCTGGTCAACTTACTAGGCATCCTATCAGTACAGAGAACTGCCTCTCCCTCTCCCAGAAGCTAACACATTTTCATTAAATTAAAATTCTTCTACTGTAATGGACTTTATAAGAGTCCTTACTTATCGTGACTATTTTTTCAAAATTATATGTGTAACAAATTAAAGATGCCCAATAAACTGGTTTTCCTTTTATTACATGTTTTTAAATTTGTGTGTGTGCATGTGTGTTTGTGTGTGTGTGTGTGTGTGTGTGTGTGTGTGTGTGTACAGGATAGGCATGTGGAGCACTCATGCCACACATATGGAGGTCAGAGGATAAGTTTGTGGGGTTGGTTCTCTCCTTTCACCTTTACATAAATTATGTGAAACTCAGATTGCCAGGTTTGTGTGGCAAGCATGGGTTTTTGGCTTGGTTTACAGTACCAACCATGGGTTTCCTCTATGGAATGGGCTTCAAATTCAATTAAGAGAGTGGTTGCTTACCCCTATTAACTGTCATGCTACTGCATGCATGAGCACATCCTGCCTAGCAGGTTGTGAACTAGGGCTCATCATGGGGTAAGACTAGTGACATCTTTTATTCTGTGCCCTTCTGGCACTATGAAAGCCAGCAGCTGAGAGGGAGCTTCCAGCTCAGTTCCAGCTTGATTTTTCTACATCATTTAATTAAGGCACATGGCATCTAGGGCAGTAGGGTCTTTATCATCTAGTTCTGGTGGCCAAACAAGAAGAATGGCAAGAACCTGTATTGGTTTGGGGGCCTCCAGGGCCTCCCTGCCCAATCCCACCTCATAAAGAGGTAGCCCACACCTGACACCGGGACTTTAGTTTACTAACTCATGGCCTTTAGTATCCACTTTTCCCATCCATGTTGGGTATCTCCCTTTAAACTCTTAAAAAATAGACTTTTAAAATTCAGTTATAAGACAGTAGATTTCCATATGGACTTTCAGTTTGGCTGATGCCCACTCCACCCCCTTGTCTCTTCTAGCCCCTCGCCTGCTCTTTTCTTCAGCCTTCCCACGCCAGTGCTCCCCATCTCTGCTGTCATATTATCGGCTACTATCACCCCTCCCTTAAGGCATCCTTCTCCCAATGGCTTTTTCCTAGATGCTTGGTTTCCATAGGAACTCCAAGTTGAACACACACAACTGGGGATTTGAAGCTAAGATCCATATATGAGGACAAACATGTGGTGTTTGTTTTTCTGTGCCTGGGTTACCTCAAACAGTATTTTTCCAGTTCTAACCATTTATGTGAATATTTCATTTTTATTTACAGAAGAATAAAATTCCATCGTGTATATGTACCACATTTTCATTATCCATTCATCAGTCCTGGCTGTTATGAATGGTGTGGCAATGAACACAGATGAACAAGTATCTGTGGTAGAAAACAGAATCTCTGGTACAAACTCAGGAGTGGAATATCAGGGTCATCTAGTCACTTTATTTCTAGCCTTTTGAGGACCCTCTACACTGATTTCCATAGTGGCTGAATCTCTGCACTGCCACCAACAATGAATAGTTTCCTCTTTCCTCACAATCTTGACAGCATCTGTTTTCATTAGGATAGAATTTCAAAGTAGTTTAATTTGCATTTAGCTTGTGGCTAATGATGTTAAACATTTTAAAAATATTTTATTTATCAATGTGCTTTTGCCCACAGAGGTCAGAAGAGGTATTGGATCCCCTGGAAATAGAGTTATGGTCAGTTGTTAGCCACCATGAGGGGGAAGGGAACCAACCCTGGGTCCTCGGTAAGAGCAGCTGAGTGCTCTTAACCACTGAGCAATTTTTCCAGTCCAATTTTTAACATTTTGAAAGTGTTTTTCTTTGGTTTTTTTTTTTTTTTTTTTTTTACAGTTTCTTTTAACTGACCCGGAGGACTCCCTTGCCCATTAGCATATTAAAGTTGGGCTGTACTGGGCTACAGCAGCTTTAACTCTTTCATCAGATCCGCCTGCCTCTGCCTCCCGAGTGCTGGGGTTAAAGGCGTGCACCACCACACTCAGGTTTTCAAAGTGTTTTTTATTAGTCATTTGTATTTCTTCTCTTGAGAGCCCTCTATTCATATCAATAGTCCATTTTAATTGGGTTGTACTATTTACCGATGCTTTGGGTTTTGTGTTGCATATTCTAGATACTAGTCCTTTGTTAGATGTATAGTTGGCAAAGATTTTCTCTCATTCTGTAGCTGCTTCTTTGCTGACTGCTTCCTTTGCCCTACCAAAGATTTTTAATTTCATGAGGTCCCACTTGTTAGTTGTTGGCCTTATTTCCTGAGCAACCAGAATCCTGTTTAGAAAGTTCTTTCCTAAGCTCACACATTGTAGGAAATTCCCTACTCTTCTAGACGTTTCAGAGTTTCCGGTTCTATGCTGTGATCTTTCATCCATTTGGAGTTGATTTGTATGCAGGATGATGTTTGAATGCCTAAAATGGTCCCAAATTTGTCTTAAAATGAGAACCGCTTCTAGTCATTCAGTGCCTGTCTTGAGATGTTTACCACGTTATTTCAGCTGCTGTTCCTAGTCACAGTGATGTGATGGTTGTTGGTCCTGGTCAGGAGCTGGGGAAACAAGAAGCAGCAATCCATTCACTATGAATCTTAATTTTGTTCTCTCTTGGTATTTTGTGTTACAGTTTTTTGTGTTTATCAATGTATTTGGTGATTGTTACCTCTATTTATGATGGTGATAACCAGGGTATGGGGTTGCTCATTCAATGTCACTGAGACAAAACGAGGCTTCCAAGGTCCTCTGTGCACAGATGACAGCTCTTCAGAAAAACCCAGGCATACACAGAAGGGCACACACCTTGGAAACCTCTTTATTATGTATCTATTGTGCCTGCTCCAGCCATTTCAGAAATCCCGTATGGTTATGAAAGGACAGAGTGTGCAGACACAGAAACAAGAAGGAGGACAGAGATTTAGGGCAGGAGGTACAGGTGAGGGGGAGGTGGGGCTGCACCTCTGCCTGCCCTGCAGTGTCTTCCTGGGAAGCCAGAGATCTCTGATACTGTGCATTTCCTCAGCCCTTTACAGAAGAATGGAAGGATTCCGGAACACAGGATACCTAGCACACATGAGCATACACACCACACACACACACACACACACCACACCACACACACACACCACACACACACACACACACACCACACACCCACACACCACACACACACACACACACCACACACCACACACACACATACCACACACCCACACACAACACACACATACCACACACACACATACCACACACACACACACCACACACATACCACACACACACACCACACACATACATACCACACACACACACACCACACACCACACACACCACACACACCACACACACCCCCCCCACCCCCCCCCCCCCCCCCCCCCCCCCCCCCCCCCCCCCCCCCCCCCCCCCCCCCCCCCCCCCCCCCCCCCCCCCCCCCCCCCCCCCCCCCCCCCCCCCCCCCCCCCCCCCCCCCCCCCCCCCCCCCCCCCCCCCCCCCCCCCCCCCCCCCCCCCCCCCCCCCCCCCCCCCCCCCCCCCCCCCCCCCACCCCACACACACACCACACACACATACCACACACCCACACACACACACACCACACACCCACACCACACACCCACACACACACACCACACACCACACACACACATACCACACACCCACACACAACACACACATACCACACACACACATACCACACACACACACACCACACACTGCACACAAGTTTGCTGGTTAATTCTTTCATGCTGGGGCAGAAAACATAAATTTTAAAAAATTGGATGTCTTCAGATGACTTCCATCACTATCTCCTTTTGAAATATAACTATCTTTTCTTTACTGGGCAAATCTAGGGGTATCAATATTGCTTATAAAACACACACACACACACCACACACACACACACCACACACACATACCACACACCCACACACACACACACCACACACACACACCACACACCCACACACACACACCACACACACACACATACCACACACACACACCACACACACACACACACAAAATGAGGACATATCAGACTGAATTTCAGGGAAAAAAATCTATTCAATTGCCTAGAAGAAACAAATTCTACAAATAACACTGAACTGATAGATGACTCTGGATTTTCAGGATTTTTCTCACATTCTTATAATTCATTCATCTATAAAAGACTTTTTTTTTCTCCATACACTCAAATGATTATTTGAGCGGGGAACAGGGAAAGAGAAAGACAATTCAATAGGTGAAACAAATATTTTATTCTTTTTAAATATGTCCACTAGTTGCCTGGCACAGAGAAGGGGCTCCATATAAATGATGCTCCAAGTGTATGTTTGGCTGTATTTGCAGATCCAGCTCCAGACTGACCAAGTGTGACTTTTCTTATCTATGGTTTTCATTATCCAAGGGACTTCTGCACCTAAGCACAAAAGTTGAATGTACATCAGAATAAAAAGCTCTGGAATTGAGTTAGGGAGAAGATTCAGTGAGTAAATAGCTTGCTACATAACCATGAGGCTTGAGTTTGGATCCCCAGAATTCACATAAAAGCCAGGCATGACATTATACATCTGTAACCCTAGTGCTAGGAGAAGACAGGTGGAGCATGGGGCTTGCTGGACAGCCAGTCTAGATGAAGCGTCATGCTCCAGGTTCACTGAAAGACCCAGCCCCAAAATAAGATGGCGAACAGTTGAGGAAGACATCTTGAACATCCTGATGTCAGTCTCTGCCCTCCACGCATGTGGTTACATATGCACACCACACCACCACCACCCCATACACAACTGGGCACTATCAACATAAATCAGTAATGATAATGAATTGCTTCAGTATTTTCAAATCTACACTTTATTAAGTGGCAATAATATAACTGGAATTACAGCATAAGATTTATGACTAACAATTCAATGAACACATAACCACAATTTTGTTTGTAGGAGAGTATACCAGCTAGAAAGCGACGTACATCCAAAACACACTAATTACAATCTCTAAATCAGAAGAGACTCTAAACAGATTAAAGTAGTGGTCAATGAGTTTCTTAACAGTCCAGAACAAAGGTAACTGGTGTTCTTGCAATGTTGTGTTTCATAAACTGCCACGAAGCCTAGCTTTGCTTTACACTTCTTCATGGTCCAATGCTTTAGTTACAACTAGTCCTTCAATTAAATCTCACTCAAAATTAATTTCATAATTACTCCTGAGTCGTTAGGTAACAGAGCAATGTTTAAAAATTAGGGCCATCTCCACTGGGATCACCACTATTAAGTATTCACAACTCCATAGTCACCGTTTAAAATATTATTACTGCCAAAAGCATCCTTTATTCCAAGTAGGATATCCCAGGTTCTGTCTACAAGTGGCCAGTGGTCACGCGATCTCACAGGACATCAGTTACTTCTCCTGCTAATTCAAGTAGGTCACCACACAGGTGATTTGTACATAGTACCTTTTGATAGGGTAAGTTTCTCTGTTCTATCATGTCTCCCTAGTTTTTAACTATAATGATCCATGTAATGTGCACAAGATTAAAATTTGACAAGTAGTATTTGGAACACTTTTGACCCAAAGTTGAAATTTTTCAATATAAAATAAATATATGAACTGCTTCAGATACTCTTTTCTCTTTTTTACTTATTTGTGTGTGCACGCGCGTGTGACTGTACCTGTATGCACACATGCAGAGGCCAGAGGAGGATGCTGAGTGTCCTGCTCAATCCTTCCCCACCTTATTCCCTGTAGACATGCTCTCACTGATCTGGAGCTTGCTGTCTTTTGGTTAGGCTGGCCAGTGAGCACCCGAAATCTTCCTATCTCCACTGGCCCTCCCTCAGCACTGGACTTTCAGAGCACATGTGGCCACACCTGGCTTTTTACCTGGGTGCTAGAGATCGGAACTCATGTCCTCATAATTTCACAGCAAGCATTTCACTAACTGAGCCATCTATCTCCTCAGCCTAAAAAAATGAGTTTCATGAGGAGCTAGTAAGAAGTGAAATTTCTAAGGCTAGGTATGGCAAATGTTTAAGGAAGTCAAAAATAGAAGTTTGAGAATTAATTTCTCTAAATTGAGGGAAACTGTATCTCTTTGAATATGATAGAAGTAAAATAATCAGTTTAATGATCTTTCTGAGATGTTTGAATCACCTTAGAAAACAATGTGTATCTCTGGTAATACTGGTCATTGTGAAGTTGTGTTATGTGTACATACAGGACAGGTGATAGTGCTAGTGTCCAGGATTTACAGAGAGGCAAGCTGTGTTCTCTCAGCTTTGCAGTGGTGTGCTGATAAAGGTCTGACAACTGGCTATACGGCAGGGGATCTTGAGCTTGTAGCATTAGCCAGACAGTTTCCCACCACAGCCATTTTAGGTCACTAACCTAACATCACTATGCACAGAGCTTAAAAGAGTGAGTAGCAGCACTCTGTTGAACAGTGTTTCTGTATACAGGAAAAACAAGTGTAGAGAACCCCAAGAACATGCAAAAAATCAATCAGGAGATGATGTGCTTTAAGTATAATCTTAATGCACATACAATTTAGTTATGTGCTACATAATCTAATTTTTAGTAATGTTTGTATGTACCAACTAGCTTGCACAGATGCCTAAAAATTTAACATTTGGATTTTTGTGAGCCAGCCTGAGCTAACTGCACTCCACTAATATTACTAATGTTTAGATGATTGCAGGCCATAAGATCAAAGAACAAAAAGCCCACCAAATTCTTCAGGTTTGATATAAATTAATCATAGGTAGTACACATCTCCCACTAAGAGTGCTGACCTGCCTGCAGACCTCTGTGATGGCCAGGGTGCCCTCCATGCCCTCTTGGGCTGTGCAAGCACACTGAGCTGCATACGGAACACTGAGCTGCACACAGAACACTGAGCTGCACACGGAACACTGAGCTGCACACGGAACACTGAGCTGCATACGGAACACTGAGCTGCACACGGAACACTGAGCTGCACACGGAACACTGAGCTGCATACGGAACACTGAGCTGCACACGGAACACTGAGCTGCACACGGAACACTGAGCTGCACACGGAACACTGAGCTGCATACGGAACACTGAGCTGCACACGGAACACTGAGCTGCATACGGAACACTGAGCTGCACACGGAACACTGAGCTGCATACGGAACACTGAGCTGCACACGGAACACTGAGCTGCATACGGAACACTGAGCTGCACATGGAACACTGAGCTGCACACGGAACACTGAGCTGCATACGGAACACTGAGCTGCACACGGAACACTGAGCTGCACTGCATATAGAACACTGAGCTGCACATGGAACACTGAGCTGCACATGGAACACTGAGCTGCACACGGAACACTGAGCTGCACACGGAACACTGAGCTGCACACGGAACACTGAGCTGCACACGAAACACTGAGCTGCACACAGAACCCCCAGATTCACGAAGACCTGCACTAAACTTCTGTTCCTCCTTCTATGTAGGAGGTTCTGGCCCATGCTAAAATTTTGGCATTGGTTTTGATTTGTCTTTTATTTCCTTAAACCTATTTTTCCTGAGTTTCTTTAAGATTTTTTTTTCATTATTATCCAAGCAACCTTTATCTTGACACATAAGCCAGAACACTGACAGATACCCCCAATTTCTCCAGTTTATCCTGCAGCAGAACGGCTCACTTGCATGAATATTCTGGACAGAAAAGCAAGAACAACATATTCCCAATAGCAATTTAAATAGAGCTCTCAAACTTACACTAATTGAGCTCAAGTTTAAATTAAGGTTCTTGGAACCTGTTTAGATATGTTTTGAAGAACTCATTTTCTAGAGATTAAATGAACTCCTACAAACCCTGCTGTAACCTTTCCTAGCCACTCTGTTCCTCTCCCAATCTCCACTAGCTTTAAACAATAACCAATTAGTGCAGGTAATTTTAATAGAACATCAAGTATGCTTTTCCTTAGTAAACAGCTATGTTGCCCAACACCTCCCATTTAATGAATTCCTACTCTGGGCCTGGTACTCTACTTATCACCTTCTATTATAAATATCTCTTACAATGTATGCTAAAAAAGATAATAAAAATAATTGTGAATACTTTCAAATAATAAAATGACCCAGCTAGGAATCAACTCTGGCTAGTCTAATTCCAGATCTATATTCTCAATCAATGACACAAATATATACTTAAATTTTTTCGTAACCCTGAAAGGCCAGTTAACTACAATTTTGGAAAAAAATAGAGACACATAATAATTACACAGCTTCCTTAAGGCCATCCACCTTAGATTTGAATCCAGGCTTGAAAGAATCTAAAGCAATCTCTCTCCTTACAAACCACACTACCTTTGATATAAATTCTCTCCATACTAATCAAAACAAATCAAAATAATAACATTACTGACAAAAGAATTCGTTCTTCCACAATGAATTGTGTTTACATCATGTCTGTGTAGCTTGCCCGACCTGGGCAGGGCTTAGCTGACTGTAGCTTGGTTTGCTGTCAACTGTGCTCAGCAGTAGGTCAGGCAGACAGATGTGCTGAGGCTGGCTACACTCTTTTGGATGGTATTAACTGTAATGACAGGAGCAATTTGGCTTTGCTTTTGGGGTCATGTTCTCATAGCAATGGCAAAAGTTCAAGAGAAAGAGTAAAAATACAGATGATCTGTTTCAACCTTCCATTTGGGCTGTATCTGATAATACCTCATTGGTCAAAGAAAATCACTTGGCTGGGTCCAGAAAATCAGTGGGAAGACATTACATGGTGCTTGGCACAGTATGTAAATAGGAGGCATGAAAAATTGGGGCCATTGATGTAATTAATCTACTTCATTTATCATCATCATTTATCAGGATGAAATAACTAAATCATAGAATCATGCATTCAGTGTGTTAAGAAATCTGATTACCAAATTTTCAAGACTTTTAGCCAATGTTAAATCATTACTGGTTTGAAATCAAGTCTACATGAGAATCTGTGGAATAAAAGCTTGCAAATACTACAAGCCATGACTGTGTAGTGAGTTTACCAGCACACTACTAAATGAGTTTCAAAAGCTTCAATCTCATACTTCTCCTATGTATAGAAATTCCACATCATTATGTGGTCTTTACTTTTCCTTTAAAAAAAATTACTGAATTTTTGTGATTTTCATTCAATACAGTTTGAGGGTATTTAGATCCCCTATGTTATCTGTGCCTCTCCCCACTGCCTGCCATCCAATTTAATGTAATATATAATGTAATGTAATATATATATATAATACGGTCTATAGAGTCGGATTTGTGTCCCCACATGTCCTTCAGTGTGGGTCCATCCACTGGGCCCACCAAGAGACCCATCCCTTAAGACACTATTCTCCCCCTCCCAACAGCCATCAATTGCCAAAGTTCCTACCTATGGAACATCACTTTTCCTTTTTACATTAAAGAAAATGACACAGACATAATGATCGGTTTGCAGATTTTCTTTTTCTTAGTTACCCATTACATATGCAAATCGCCTAAATTAATTGTTCTAAAGATAGATGGTTCATCATTTCTTGAACACTCACTGTAAAATAGTAATTAGGCAAATATCATCAAAGAAATTACTTGAGTATAAAGTTTCTAATTTGCTATTTTAAGTATATTTTAATTCTCATTCATTCTGTATTCTTTTCATAAATTCACTTTAGGTAACTCCAGGGACAGTATCAAATACAGTAACTATGAACTTTTGTCCACAGAGTCAGAGTTCTAGGTCATATTAGATTAGACTATCACTCAAAAAAATTGAACACAGGTTTGTCATATGTTATAAACAAGAGTAGAAACTCATCCTACTTCTTCCCCAAAAAGCAAGGAAAGTGTAAGTGATTTTTATTTGTGAATTTTAAACTTTTTGAGACTGGGTCTCACTATGTAGCCCTGGCTGGCTTAGAGCTCACTAGGTAGACCAAGCTGGCCTTGAACTCACAGAAATCTGCCTGCCTCTGCCTCTGCCTCTGCATCTAAGTGCTGGGATTAAAGGCATGCACCACTACACCCAGCTAATTTAAATTTTTTAATTTACATTACCTCACAGAATAGTAAGTTCCAATTTGAGGTTTTCTACATATTCCATTTTGGTTGAGTCCCCCCCTTCACTGCCTGCCCACCTTTCCCTACTACAGAGACAGCTGCACATCCATGTTTATTGCTACCCCTTGGACAATAAGAAGGAAATGGAACGGACCTAGATGTCAGTCAACAGATAAATCAATAATGAAATGTGGTAAATGTATCCACATTTCTTCCATATTGAAGGAAAACACTGGGTATGAGTATATACATGATGCTGCTTTCTTTCTCAGATCTACATGAGATCTGATATGTATAAATTTTGTGTACACGGCATGTACACATGTGAAATGTATATAAAATATACATTTATATATATGATTATACACACATATAGCTACATTTATAGTTATATCTATCCCAAGCTACTCAGGAGGCAGGAAGATCACAAGTTGAAAGACTGCCTGGACCACAGAGTGAATATAAGGCCAGTATAGGCAGCTCAGTGAAATCCTGTCTCAAAAAACAACTTAAAAAGGATTGTAGCTATATCTCAGTGGGAGAGCATATGCCTGACACATGAAGCCCTAGGTTCAGTCCCTCATCCTGGAAAAAAAAATCCACGTTCAGGTATTTTTTTAATGGTGAAAAACTACTGTATTAGAAATATTTCCATCAATTTTTATCTTTAAAACGCTGTAACACTGCAGCAGAGCTAACGCGATCTGAGTGCGGCCTGACGGCATACACTGAGCAGAAGTCCAGAAGGGGGAGCGGTCCTGGTAATGACTATGAATTACTAGAAAAATTACTTCACGATTTTATAATGTACTAAAAAATATAAAAGTTTTATATTTATATTTTGTTTTATATTTTGTAAGCATGGAGTTTATACACAATAGGTTATTGCAAATCTCATATAGACAAATACATAGATGTCTAAAAATGAAAAACCCATTAAAGTAAAAGTAAAAACTCACTGTTGAATACTTAGCTGGCTTATTACACAATGCTTATAGATAAAGCAAATAATAAAGATAACTATGTTAACTGCAACTCTGTTTGAAAATCATATTTTATGGCAATGTTAGACACATCTATAAAATAAGTCCAGTTTGTTTCTACAGGCTTTATTTGAAGGCATGGGTAGAGAAGAAAATTCTTGAAGTTACAAATGTAGAAACTACTATTATTTTAATGAATAGAAACAATTCTTATAGCTATAAGAGACCAAATAGCCTTAGAAACACTTTCAATATAATAGTCACAAAGTATATTATAAAAAAATCGCATTATGGGGCTGGAGAGATGGCTCAGTGGTTAGAGGCTACTCTTGTAGAGGGCCTAGGTTCAGTTCCCAACACCCACATGGCAGCTAACAATCATTAGAGCACGAGTTCAGGGCATCCAACACCCACTTCTGGCCTCCTCAGGCATTGCATACATGGGTGCACTTTCATACATGCAGGCAAAATACTCATATATATAAAATAAAAAAAAATAAAAGTTTGCAAAAAGAAACCCTATTATATAACGTTATATATATTTATTTTTATTATATTTGTATTTTTTGTAGTTTTGGGAATTGAACTCAGGATGAATGCATACAAGCTGTCTGTCACTGAGCTATATCCTCAGTTTTAGTCATAATTATTTAAAAATTTTGAAAAATGATATGGTACGTACTCATTCTAAATCAACTGGAATTAAAGCAATATCCAGAAGCCCAGATTTCAAGCAACAGCATTGTTAGACCAATCTGACGAATTCTTATAGTTCAGTAACACAGCAAAGCAAAGCAGACTTCATCTGGGACATAATCTGAAGGCGTTTTGGAATATACACAAGTTCTCTCATACGTGTGAAGTATCTACATACCTTGTCTCACATCCATCTTTGCTAAAGGGCCACTGCATGCACAGCACTCGTGCCCTGATGGTTAAAAGAATCCCATATGTTTCTGATATATCTGCAAAGAGAAAAGAACAGTTTCAAAGGTACAAAAACTGATTTTGTGTATCCCTTACACGTTACCATGACTCAGCAGCACTCTAAGTGTCATGTGGAGCTGGGAAAAGCAACCTGACTGCACCTGACTTTACTGGACGCATGATACTCCGGACAAGGGTTTTATTTGCACAGACTTCCCCACCTGAACTTGGTTTCTGTCACTTCTGTGCTGGCACAGTACATGGTTTCCTCCTCTGCTGCAGCACTTCCTACACTTTGCCGTATCCTGAGCTCCACTGCTTGTGTAAAAGTATGAAGCATCAGTATTTACAAATACCCTGTGACAATTTTAGCATTGCTCTATTTCTTCCTCCCTCCCTCCCTGTTTACACTTCTCTAAATCAGTACCCCAAAGCACATGCTTACTACAGAGAAAGGCAAGGTGGTGGGAAAGGGAAAAAAAGTGAGCTAAAGGCACACGGCCATGTTTGTACACTTTCAGTTCAGGTCCTAGTATCCCAGAAAACCAAGGTCTCTCTAACAATAAGAAAAGTTTGTAGAATGTACCGAATTACGAAAAGCCGACCATGTGAGGCAGTCCTCCCTCTCACAAGTTGACTCTCTCAGAATGAAGCCTCATTTCTCAGTGCCTTAGCACTTCCTGCCTTGCAACAGGAGGCAGCAAAGCCCTCTGTTAAATCTCATTAATCACCACTAGTTTACATTTGTTGGTTCCAGTCATTAAGCTAAGGCCATGTGACAGACCCCCTAAAATACCAGCTAGCCATGACAGAGGTAGGGAAGGAAGAGAGACAAATAGGTCTTAACTAAGTCAATTTTTGAAGTCTGTGAATTGAGGGGATTCTAGAGTGGAAATGAAAGCTTTAAATTACCTTAAAACTCGAGTATATGAATTTGGGTGTGGTGGTGCACATCTTTAAACCCCAGTACTTGGGAGGCAGAGGCGCTCGGGTATTGGAGCGTTTGCTGGGCTGGTCTACATAGTGAGTTCCAAGCCAGCTGGGGCTACAGGAAGACCCTGTCTCAAAAACAAACCAAAACAACAAAACTTGAGTATATAAGTTTGCCTTCTCCCTTCATATAGAAGTCATTGTCTTGACAAAGTCATCAAGGCTTAAGACTGAGAAAGACAAAAACTAGAGCCTTGAAACAAAGTTCATACATTCAAATTAACTCTATCCATGAGGCATCAGGGGAAAAATCAATCATAGCTTTTGCCCTACAGGGACATGGCTGCTCCTCCAGAAGGTAAGATCAGCAAGTATCATTTGTACCATCTACTGTTGTACATGAAGGCACGAAGCAAAGTCATGTACAGTGCTTTAGAAAGCTTTAGCATGGTTTCAACAGACACAGAAAAACTATTATATCACTATAAAGAAGTTAGATGTTGGGTTTTTCCCCATGACACTAGGCAAATAGGTCTGACTGAAATATACTGATATACAGAAGTAACACTTGTTTGCCTTCACATGTATGAAGTCACCCTTAATAGAAAAACAGATAAACTGACTACTGAGAGCTTATAACAGATCAATGAGTACTAAATCTTTTTGGCTTTTTTCTCTTTTCCTGCCTCCATATATCAACATGGATATTATCAAACAAGAAATAAAAAAGAAAATGATCTAGAAAGAATGACTGATCCATACAAGTAAGAATTAAGTGGCTATAGAACAGAACCAGGGTGACAGAATCAGCAATGCTGCATTTGGCAGGAATGAACTAAATGTGTCCAGTCTGCTCTGGGGCTCCATGTTACAAGCTGCTATAATAAAACAACTTTGTATTTGTGTCAGTCCGATTCCTCTTCTATAGTCTTAGTGAACGTGTAGTGCTTCTGAAGAACTTGTCTTTCTGATGCTACATAAAGTTAAGGGCTATTTAATTCCTCCATTTTGTGATATCTTAAGCAGATAAATCACTATTTTAGTTCCACAGGAATTTTGTGGAGGAAAATTAAACACAATATGGGACTGCATTATCATAAATATATATATCATATGAGAGACCCTAGAAATACCTTCCTTTATCACTCTGAAGTACTGACTAAATCCACAGAAGGTTGCCGATTTGCTCTACGACTATCTGAAGTAAGACTTCTTTGCTGCATTTCATGGACTGTCAGCACCTTCCACACCAAGAAAAATTAGCTCATGATCCGTCACACAAAATGTGTGAATTCACAGATACTTTGTCATATACAGAAAATCTTATTATCAAGCTTCGTGTCTTGACATAATGACTTAAGAGATCATACAGCAACCAAGAGACCTCACAAAAAGTAACGAGATTGTAGCATTTATATCATTTTGTATGTTAGGCATAATTAGCTTTAATATAACCCATGATCTGTAACAATTGGATATGTTAGCATTTTCAGCTTAGAAATATAAAACTTCCAGGATGCTGTTAAGTGACATAATAAAGCTGTTGTAATGGACTATGAACATGAACAGTCACACAGTGATACATGAAAAGAGCATTCTAATATGAAAAACTGACAACTAATTGAAAAGTATTTGTGATCAACAGTTCAGCTGCTGCAGAGCTGCTCCACAGGAACAAGAGCATCTCCACTCTAAGGTGTTTCCATATAAACATCGCATCTTCAATATAAATGTTGAATTTTTGTGTGTATGAGTATTTTCCATGTACGAAAATCCACCCATGTTGTGCAATGCGTGTGGAGGCCAGAAGAGGGCATCAGATCCCCTGGAACTGGAGTTACTGATGGTTGCTGTTATGTGGGAGCTGGGAACCAAACTCAGGTCCTCTGAAGATCAGCCAGTGCTCTTAACTGCTGAGCCATCTCTCCAGCCCCTCAGACATCACGTTTTTTAATATGAAATTTTAGAGCACATTCAGAGGGCAACAAGGACACAATCTTGAGACATAGCTCTAGGATTTCCAAAGATTTGACCTGCAGAAAATAGTAAGAGATGTTTTGAAATACACACACACACACACACACACACACACACACACACACACGAGGCAGGGAGGGGGAAAGTGAAGAAGATTTAAGTGTTATCTGTGCCTTGGAGATAAGCAAGAAAACATGAAGGGAATTTTGATTCAATGTAGGAAGAGCAGATTGCTCTTCAGATAAAACCAGCTCAAAAGGTAACAGTTCTCCTGATGTTAGGCATGTTCACAACTTGACTTAGTTATTGTGGACAAGTTTCATGTAGAGAAAAGGCAAAAGAAATCTCCAATTTGAAAGCAACTGATGTCTTTAGGAATGTTATATATGGTATGTTATATAGCATACATAAAGTTTCATGTATGTGTCCCCAATGGAGTGTCCTAGTAGCAGGTGACAGCAGCCTGCCTGCATGACCTTTGCTGTTTCTACTTTCTTGAAGTCCGTCCTGTGAATCACTCCCATGCTAAAATTCATGATACCATCTGTACTTGATAAGTATAGTTAGCCAAAGAAACTCCCTTTATCTGCATTCTAGGACAACAGTGATAATTTGGAGTAGAAAGAAATCCTGACAATGGGAGCATCTTCGTATCTTCAGAGAAAACCCAACAGCCAGTTGAATGTGGATTTACTTCACATATACACAGACACACACAGACACACATACCATATATGTATATGTTTTGAATACACATAACCTGAAAATTTTCTCATTATGAATGTTGGAGGAGGCCTAGTCTGGATGGGGTCTGGAACATGAACTCTGAGTACAGTATGATAGCTTTGTTTGCATAAATATCACGGGGAAAGTCTCAAGGCAAGAGGAGACTGTTAAATTAGCCATTCTTATACTGATGCATGCATGGCAGATACAGCTAGATTTCACTGGTGTTAACAGTACAATTCGGGAGGGATCTGTGGAATGCTTAAAACGGGAAGGCATTTTGGGCATTTCTTTCAACTTAGAAAGAGCTCTGAGAAAGTAAGACATTGCAACAGCTACACCTCTCATTCCATGAGGATCAAATGTTATCAGGACAATTCCATGCTATATTTAAAAAACAATTTTTTTAACAATTAAAAAAATATTTTATTTTACTATTTTTATGTGTCTGCATGTATTGCCTGCATGGAGGTAAGTGCACCTGTGTCATCCAGTGCCTATGGAGGACAGAAGAGGCTGTCAGATCCCCTGAACTGGAGCTATGGACAGTTGTTAGCTGCCATTTGGGTACTGGGATTTGAACCTGGGTCTTCTGCAAGAACAACCAGCGTTCTTAAGCACTGAGCAATCTCTCTAGCCCCGCCATGCTATATTTAAAGAGACACTAAATCAGTGATTCAGGGGAGCAGTCTTTAGCTGTGTTCAGGGGAATAGACCAAAAGTCCTATTTTTCAGTAAAGAGCAAAAGAATATTGGGTGTGGTGGTGCATACCTAATTAGAACTTGGTAGTCAGCCATATACATAGTGAGCTTAAGGAAAGGCCCCATCTCACCACCCCCTTCACTCCCCTAAACAAAAGAAATGAGCTCTTAGCCTAATAAAAAGGCACAAAACCATGCCTGGAAAGGTGCCTCAGAGGTTAAGAGCGCTGACTGCTCTTGTAGAGGACCTGGGTTCATTTCCCTGGACCCAGATGAAGGCTTATAACCATTTGTAACTCCAGTTCCAAGGGATCTTACACCTTATTCTGGCCTCCATGTGCACCTGGCACACACCCAGTGTACTTATATACATGTAGACAATCAAACACATAAATAAAAATAAATGAATTTTTTTTCAAAAGCACAAAACTAGAGAAATATACTGATGAAGACAAGAAATGGTAATCTGTGGCACAGTGATGGTAATTACATACTCACCCTTCAGGTTCACCATGGAGACTTTATTTTCAAGATTTCTTACAAGGTACTTAGTCAAGTATATGCCCTAAAACACAATGCTCTTCTGCAGTAGACACTGACTAGAAATGGCAGGACCACAGAAGAAAGGAGGAAACAGAGTGGTTTTGTCCATGGAGGTTGGTTTGCTTTTTGTTTTGTTTTGTTTCTTTTTTTTTCATTTTCC